TTATGAAGGGACTACCTGGTTCAGTGCACTCCTGGGTGCTTTAGTCAAGCTACTCAGCAACTGAGTGAGGAGGAAAAGATTATTCTATTTTACTTGAGAACAAATTGACCCAGAGAGTTTACACAAGGTCACATGGCCATCAAGGGTGAAGCCAGAATTTGAAACCACCATTTTGACCTCAGAGTTCTGGCAAATTAAGTAAGAAAGACAATGACTACATTTTGGACATTCCACCACCAAAAAGGAATTTTTGCCAACTATTTGTTAGCCAGAAAACAACATGACCAAGTTCCCCACAGACTCTCGAATGGCTCAAACCATGAAGCTGCTCATTGAAAAAATTACAATATTTATCTTTTTATAAGAAAAAAAATCTCCTTTCTCTGAAGCCTAGAGAAGGCTTTGTTTCTTTTTGCACAAAGCAATCAGAGACATTCTGTTTGCAGTAGGGAACACACAGAACCCATTGTTTAAAAGAATACTTGTTCAGAGTGGCTGAAGAGGAAGCAAAAGATCTAAGATCCCAAAGCATAGCCAAAGAACACATAAAAGAGTTGAGATCCAGGTTTCCCAGGGAAAAGTGAACAGGCAGGAAAAAAAAAAAAAAGAAATTAGTTGCAACAAAGGTAGATATTGACTGATGAATTTATTTAAGGGATTTAGAGAGGAGATTAGGCTTTTGCATAAGGATATTCAGATTTGTGTTTGGCTGTTGTTCCGTATGAATTAGGAATATGATCTGTGCATTCAACGTCCTTTTAGTGTTCAAAACGATTGAGAGGTAGCCTTCTCATGTTATCTTCTAGGAGTTTCATAGTTTTGATCACTTAGGTCTATGATAATGAAGGTCTATTATCCATTCTGAATTAATTTTTGTGAAGGGTGTAACTATGTCTGGGTCTAGATTCATTTTTTTGCATGTGGATGTCCAGTTGTTCCAAGACTATTTGTTGAAAAGACTATCTTTTCTCCCCTTTTGTTGCCTTGGCTCCTTTGTCAAAGATCAGTTGACTATGTTTATGTGGGTCTATTTTGCTTCTCCACAAAAACTTTAGAATTGGTTTGTTGATATCCACAAAAAAACTTGCTGAGATTTTGGTTGGAATTGCACTGAAAAGAACTGACATCTTGACAATAGTGAGTCTTTCTATCCATGAACATGGAATATCTCTCCATTTAGTTTGGTTTTGATTTCTTTCAGCAGAGTTTGCCTCACAAAGATCTTGTACCTATTTTGTTAGAGATATCTAACCATGTGAGGGATTCACTTGCAAACAGATCCTCCAGCTCCAGCCACATCCAGCTCCAGGTCACTGCAGTTTTGATTGGCATTGGACTATAATCTCATTAAAGTCCTGGATCATAACCTAAGCTGTTCCCAAATTCTTGCAAATAGAAACCATGAGAGCTAATAAATGCTTATGAATTATGTAAGGGGATCTAGAGAGATTAGGCTTTTGCATAAGGAATTTCAGACTTTTGTTTTGCTGCTGTTCTGCATGAATTAGGAGTATGATCTGTGCATTCAACCTCTTTCTGGGGTTCAAAAGGCCTGAGAGAAGGTGGCCTTGCTAAATGTAAAGAGTAGGAGCAGGATGGCACTTGGGCTAGTGAAGAATTGGTCTAGATAACTAGGATAAAGGAAATTCTAAGTTTTAACCTCTTTTAGCAGATTGTCAATGATTCTGCAACTACATATTGCCTAGTGTGGTATAGGGGAAAGAGCATAACTCTTGGAGTCATATAATCTGGAATCAAATCCCACCTCAGCCATATCCTTGTCTACTATACGACCTTAGGTAAGTGTCTTACCTTCTTTGAACCTTAGGTTCCCATCTGGAAAAAAAAAACCTAACAGGATTTTTGTGAAGATTAAATAAATAGTATACCTATCTATACCTGTATCTATATCTATATTTATGTCTATATCTATAAATACATCTATAGCTGCATCTGAACTTTTGTCTATGTCTATGTCCATATTCATATCTTTATCTATCTAGTACTTAAGAGGTGCTCTATGAATGTCAATTGCCTTCTCCCCTGCTGTATCGATCAATTTATTAATTTAACCAACATTTATTAAGTGTTTATTTCATGCCAGCATTGTGCTAGTTTCTGGAGATGATGAAAAGGTGATTAATACCCAGACACTGTCCTCAAGAAGCTAAAAGGAGAAACGGACATACACAGACCACATGAGTCCAGGTATAACATGGTTTGAGCAAGTTAACTGAGACTTCTGGGCTCAGGCATGTCGGCTTGTTGGATTTGGGGCTGATGACATGACCCGTCATTGAATCATGTAACCCACTGAGGTGTTTCCTTTAGGATTTCTGATAGTGTAGGTTGGCTGGTAACAAATTCTCCTAATTTTCTTTTATGTCAAAACATTTATATTTTGCCTTTGAGGAATATTTTTGCTGCGTATAGAAATCTGTGTTAAAATTTTCTTTCTGAATCTAAAAATTTATTGTCCTAATATCTTCTGGCCTTCATTTTTTTCTGACAGGAAGTCAGCAGTCATTCGAATCATTTTTTACATATATGTAAGGTATCATTTTTTTCCCTGGGTAGTTTTAAAATATGTCTGCAAATTTTTTGATACTCCTTACTTTAAAAGGTGGAACCTAATTCCCCTCCCCTCGAATGTGGTCTAGACTTAGAGACTGGATTCTAATGAACAGAATATGATGGAAGTGATGCTATATGACTTCCAAGACTAGGTCATAAAAATGTAATTCAGAGGGCCCAGCCCAGTGGCTCAGTGGTTAAGTTCATGCACTCTGCTTTGGTGGCCCGGGTTTGCAGGTTTGGATCCCAGGCGCAGACCTACACACTGCTTATCAAGCCATGCTGTGGCAGCGTCCCATATAAAGTGGAGGAAGATGGGCACAGATGTTAGCCCAGCACCAATCTTCCTCAGCAAAAAGAGGACGATTGGCAACAGATGTTACCTCAGGGCTAATCTTCCTCACCAAAAAAAAAAAAATGTAGTTCAGAGCACATACAAAGAGCTTCCATTTGGCTCTTTCTCTCTCTCTCTCTGTCTTGTTCTGAGGGAGGCTGGCTACTATATCATGAAGACACTCAAGCAGTCCAAGTTAAGGATCCACCTGGAGAGGAACTGAGGCCTCCCACCAACCACCAGTGCCAATTGCAAGCCATAAGACATTAAATAAATATTGCTTTATGAACGAATGAATGAATTTGCTCCTCTAGGCTCTAAGCTTCTGGATGGCAAAAACTGTGCCTTTTTATCTCCCTCACGTGGTACAATGCGTAACACTGAACATGCACCCTTCGCTATTTCGTGAATTAACTGAAATTCTTGTTGAAGTAAATGATATGGAAACACAAGTGAAAAATCATGGCAGAAAACTCATTTTAAACATTTATACTGCACATTGACTAGTGCTGGTTTTCAAGCCCCATCAACCATTAGAGAAAAAACAAACAAAAAACCGTACATTTATACTCTGTTTGTTCCTGGTAGGCCATATGTGTTTTCATAATTTCTAACAATAGAACACAAAGAGGTTTCTAGAGAATCTTTATGAAACAATATACAATGATAGGTATTTGTGCTTAGGTTGTAAACTATTGTAAGATGTTGAATTCGGCAGACTAGCTGCAGAGGCCTGTTAACCTGTATTCCGCTTTATCCAATGGAGCCTTAAGCCATTTCAGCAGAGCTGAATTTTATGAGCATAGGGAGTTTGAACACACATTCATGCAACATGCAAACTGAGCGACTTCTTTTTCTCTTTGGGAGGTAGTGTGTATCCAGGGTATGTCCCAGTGGTTCAGAGCACTTGACTTCCCAGGTGCAAATCGTCAGGCAGTCACTTATCAGTTTTGTGATCTTTGGCATATGGCTTAACCTCTACCTTAGTTTCCTCATCATTACAAAGCAGAAACTAACAGCACCTACCTCACAGGGTTGTTATGAAGATAAAATGGGTTAATATATGAAAAATGCCTGGCACATAGTAAGCACTAATGAAAAGTAGCTCTTATTGCCTTCAATGCCTATCACGGATCTGCAACATTGCAGGTGACTTGTAAATCTTTATCAATTTACAATTGGTAAATGAACAACTCTAAGATGAGAGTACTGAACGAACATCTCTGCCACTTTTTTTGCGGTGGAGGTAATTGCATTCTATGATCACACAAAAGTTTTGATTGTTTATTCCTTTTTAGAAACTCTTCATTAGATCAAAAAGAGGCAGATGATTATGTTTATTGATAGAGGATATACAAGTAATACTGGCACATGATCACACTGAATTGGGAATTACAAAATAACACACTTTGGGGTAAGGGGAATTTTTATTTTTCATTTTAACTCCACAAATGTGAAAGTGGTAGGAAGGAGTCAAGTAAAGAAAGGAGCATGAGTTTCAGAATGCCTAGTGCCTTCTGCCTTGTTGGGCTTAGGGAAAAACCAGTTTTTCTAACTCATGAACAGAGCCAAGCTTCTGCCACTTGACTGGGGGAATACTTGGGAGAGGTAAGGGGCTTAATTAGACTTTATATCCCCAGCACCTGTCACAGTGCCTGACAGCAGAAAGTCAAAAAAAGTTATTTTAAAGCGATAAAGTATTAAATAATCAAGGCAACCAGACAAATATTTGTGACAAAATAGTCTACCTTAGATCTCAAACCCCCCATCCCTACCTCAACCTCCACCTACCCGGATGGACCCGTCTTCCCCTTAGAATGACACTCCTAGGTGCAAGAAAACGTGATCCAGTGGAAACTTCTCCGAGTTATGGGAACCACCTCCTTCGTTTATTGCTAAAGAGGGGAAGAAGGACGGAGATGAGGCTGGGAGAAACGGAGCGCCTCTAGGGCGGAGCAATAGCGGCGTGCCACTTGGCAGGGGTCCCGCCGGTGTCGTCAGTTACCTCCGCTCCCACCCTCACCCGCCCTAATTCTCGCTCTGAGAAATAAGCCGTTAGCAACACATGCCTGAAAGGCTGGGACCCGGCATCTCCGCGATGGGCCCGGGGGACTCCCGCCGCCGCCGACAGAGACCCTCCCGCGGGTCCCACGGAGTCCCAGGCAGAGCGGGGCTTTGGCCCCCAGCCCCTCGCCCCGCGCGCGGCTTCCCCGGGGGCAGCAGGAGCGTGCACGTCCAGGAGGAGGCCCCCGCCGCCAGCCCGCTGCTGGAAAACCTCAGGCGGCGGCTGGTGAGCGCCTTCCACCGGGCGGTGCCGCGCGGGGGCTCGAGGCGCTCGCGGGAGGCGGCGGCGCGGGAGGAGCGGAGCCGGGCGCGCGTCGAGAGCGCGCTGGGCCGGCTGCGCGCCGAGCTGGGGAGCGCGCGCGCTGGGCAGCCGGCTCCCGGGGCTGCCCTCTCCTAGGTCCTCTCCTGGGCTCCAGAGCCGGGGCCACGTGGCCCACTCCAGGACTCGGGAGGCCGAGGGGAGCTGTTCCCAGGGAGGGAGAGTATGCGGGCAGGCAGCGAGAAGGAGCTGGGCCGTCGATCTCCCCGGGAAGGCCGGCCTGCGTCCCGAGGGGGTGCCGAAGCCACCAGCTCCCCAGCAGCATCTGGGAGGGAAAGGGTCCTTGAGCATCCGGGGTGCTGGCACCTGTGGAGGACTGAGTCTACTAGTGACACGCCCAAGACTCCCTCCCCAACTTGTTCTGTATCTTTCTACCCTATAGGGAACTCAGTATGTGTGTGTATGGGGCGTGGAGGAGGAAATTGCAGTGAAATAAACTCATAGGTTTGATGGAGCAAGTCCATCAGCAAACATTTCTTTTATGCCGAAAGTTTTAGTCTCATCTTTCCCCTTGGTAAGAATTCAGAAAACAGGAAATAATCAGATATTTTGTACCATAGGATATTTTGTAGCTTTTAAACGTTATGCAGGTCAGGTCCGAATGTTAAACAGGAGGGAATGCATAGGTAAATATTATAGATTACTGTTTTAATTTAAACAATTTCCAAAAAGACAAAATTTGAAAAGGATTAAATGAATAAGAGCAATTCAAACTTTAAAATGGTGCTGCCTATGAACGTGTGTATTGGAGTCTTGACTTGGAAAATTCTGCTCTTTTGCACTGAATACTAATAAAATATTAACTGTTACTTTAGAACTGATTCAACCATCAGAAAATTGTCTGACTTAAGAACCTTAACAGAATATTTATCTTGTTTCTGAGTTTAAGAAGGGTATTAAGCTAATAAATCTAATTTTATCCATGTTAATTTGAATTTGACAAGGGATGAGTTATCTCCGACCCAAGCATATTGAGGAAACACGTGGTTTTCTTCTAGCACCTGAGCAGTTGGATGGCGAGACACCTCATTCGTGGAGATACATGCCTGGAGGGGTGTGCTGGGGGCAGGCAGGGCAAACTGGAAGCCTGAGACCTGGCTCAGCCATCTCTGTGCTGCTGACGTGGGATGTCACCACCTCTCTCGCACCTCAGTTGACTCATATTTAATTCAAATAAAGAGATTATGTTGATTAAACTCTGAGACACCTTCCAACCTTAGCATTCTAACAAGGCGCTTTACCAGTAGGAGTTTTAGGCAAGTAATACCTATGGGGGGTGGGGAGGAAGTGGAGAATAAAATTCCAAACAGATGAGAGTTCAAATCCCAGTGTTAACAATTAAAGGCTCTGCGAACATTTGCTGGCTCTACCACTTTGGGAATGTTAATTAGCAAGTTTGAGTTTCAGTTTACTCATCTGTAAAATGGAGATAATAATCTTATAGGATTACCGTAAAGATTAAATGAGATAATGTTATATAAAGTGCCTAGAACATAGGCACTATTCAGTGGCTCTTATTATGATGATAATTATTATTAAGACCTTGGACACTGATTGTACCAAAAAAAATGACAAATACATCGGTACCAAGATCAAGGTTTTTCTGGAAAGGAGCCAGAGAATTTCACACGTGCACAGAGGCTGGGTTCCTGGGCTCTGGAGCGTGGTTAACATCTTGGCCAACCATTTCACCAACGTGTGTGACGGGTCATGAGGAAGAGGCAAAAGTGTGTAACTGCTTTAGCTTAACATCATCACCACTAGAAGAGGAAGTTTCTGACAATGGGCCATTAACCAGATTTCTATAGAAATTGGCATACAATAATACACATATGTACACGAATCACGCGTTAGGGTGGTACTTGTGTAAGGAACAATAATGAACAGGTTTAATTAATTTAGAGGTGTTGCTGTTTATATTATTTATGCTATTATTTGTTGTTTGAATTGGTCTTAGTGGGATGCATTGATTTCTAGGGACTGTGAATGGATTTCAGGAGTTCTATATGTCTAAAATTGCAGGCAAAATTTTGTATGTGTATAAGTGCATTTTTTCAGAGAGGGTGCATAGCTTTCATCAGATTCTCAAAGGGATCCATGATGAAAGAAAAGTTAAGGGACCGTTAGTGTTTGAATTTCCTAAATAGGTGTGAATTACACGTACTTATTTACTTAGATGGTGAACCATCATCAATAATTTTACTCGTCGATTCTTTGCATGAGAGGACAGAATGGATATTCATCAATTCATACATTCATTCATTCACTCAGTCTTTTAACGAACACACAGAGAACCTGCCTTATTGTGTGCCCAGGCAGTGACCCATAGTTGGGGATACAATTATGAGTACGAAACAAACTCTGCCATCAATCATCAGTCTAGTGCAGTCTGTGTGCTAAGAGAGGCACACGTACAGAATGTTGTGGGAGCACAGATAAGGGGCAACAGGGAAGGGGCTTCTAAGTGGAGTTGGCATTTGGGTTCAGCAGGAAGAGGAGTGGCAAAGGGCTTCTTAAGCAGCGGGGGCAGAAGGAGACGTGGCCCAGCACGGTGTGTTTATTTAGGAGCAGGCAAGGTTTCTGACCAGCTGCAGTGGGGGCTGGCACGGAGAGTGCCAGGAAGTGACGCCAGAAAAGCAGGGCAGGATTATAGAGCGTCTGTGCCGCCCTGGAGAGCTGAAGCTTCCTGGAGGCAAGGCGAGGGGGCTTTTTAGGCTGGTTGTTGTGTTGTTACTGTCAATGTTTGTTTGCTAGATGCTCATTTCCTTATTCCTTGCTAATTCTTGCTATCAGAGAAGTAGTTCCAGGTGCTAAAGAGTGAAGGAAAATGTGTCAGAGGAAAACTGAAAGAAAATTTTATCCAATGACTTTATTTTGCAAACTGGGAGGGGATCATCAATATTTGCTTTCTACCACAGAACACCCTGGTTCATCCCGGGGTGTTTTCTTTGGTGAGTTGAAGGGTCTTAAGCAGGGAGAATAGGGTCCTCGTGAAGTGCATTAAACAAGGTCCTAATTGAAGAAATTTGCAAATAGTTGAGTATTAGTTTTCAACTATAATACAAAGGTTATGTTGGACTAAGCTTTGGTGGACTGCCTCTTAGGTAAACTGCCCTAGAGATCTATTTTTTTAATACATGAAGACCTTCACAATTTCCCACTGGAGGAGGGAATAAATCAGCCTTGGTATATAAGAGATTTCACTCTAGAGTGAAAATTGTTAGATTATGTAAGTACACATAACTGTACATGTGCCTCTAAGGTGTCGTTAAATACTTTTGCTCAACAGGGAGACCATTTAAAATCCTAAAAACTTGAAATGACAAGTAATCAAGTAAGTAGGCCCCGGTCCCTAATGCTCAGGTGGCCCAGGCAGTTATCCTGTAACTCAGAAAGCTCATCAAGATAAATGATTTCATCACAGATCACATGCCATTGCTTGAAAACAGCCTTCCATGCACAAGAATTTTTCATATGGACAGCTTTGTGCATCAGCTATTTTTGTTTTCATTTCAAGGCCATTTCAAAAGCTATGTGTATATCTGGATTTTGTCATATAGAAAGTCTGTTTTATATCCAGGCCAAACAGTCAGAACCGGAGAATAAGATGAGAAATACATCTTTCTTGATGTCTTATTTTCCTTTCTTATAAACTCCTTATTTTTTCCTGTGCAGAGAGCGGTTTCATTTGATCCATATCTCAGGCTAACAAAAATCCTTATTCTTTTTCTAACTTTTAGCTGGAAATGCGTTTCCAAAATCGCCAGCTGGCCAGAACTTTGCTGGATTTAAACATGAAAATGCAGCAATTGAAAAAGGAGTATGAACTGGAAATTGCATCAAAATCTCAAAGCTCAGAAGATAATGCTGTGAATCTGGAATAAGGAAATGCACACTTGAAGATCTGAACCCTAAAAATAACATAGACATCTCCAAAACAATTCTGACACTAACATCATGGATGCCTTGCATAAGATTTTAGGGGCAATTTGTGGGCCAAAAACTTAGATGCCACGGGGAAGCGACAGAAAACATCTAAGAGGGGCAAGATAGAAAATGATGTATTACCAAATTTTAACGTTATTTATTCATTGTTTCGGCTGGGAAGTAAAAATAAAATGTATTGAAGAATGCTTTAATGCCAATTTCTAGCATTTTGTCTTGTGCCACCTTAATTTTCTGGCATTACCTGAACTTTCAGAATCTGTGCATGATTTTGTATTTCTTGATTATTCTTGGTTTGTCTGTCCAGTTAGCTATTCAGTATCCACGCCCCCCAACCCCCACAAGTGTCCCACTCTCCATCTCCCCATGGATATAGTCAGGCAGATCAAGGCAGGTTGATCAGCTTCTCCTGGGAGTCTTTGAACTAGAACTAAGGGAGTGGATGAGTATTTCCTGATGGTAGAAGCCGTGGGTCAGCGGGGCTTGGAAGCTGCCGATGGCCGCCATGTGAGAAAGTGTGAGCTCTAATGAAGGAGGCTCAAACTGAACCACCGAGGGGACGAAAGGAGAGGGAGAGAGCTGATCTTCCTTGTCCCTGGGGTCGACCTGTATAAAACTCCAGCCCTTGCTGTCATCTAGATATATGAAAATACTCTAATATCCTCCTAATAAAATCTCCTTTTGCCTAAGTCAATTGAGTTGGACTTTTATGACTTGTACCCTAAAGACTCCTAATTAGTGCAATTCCTTTGTTAAGTTTTTAGGAGTTAAAATGGTTCATGTTGAATTAGAGTATCTACCTCTACCCTAAAAATGTTGCCCTCTTAGTGCAGAAAATCGAGTTAATAAAAAATAGTTGCAGATCTAAGCAATATTTATAATGGTCATTATCTGTAAAAATAAAAATTAATTTATAAATTGTATGTAATTTTAACATTTAATTAACAATAAAAACTAGTTCTTGAAGACAAAGGAGAACAGAATGGACGTTGTGTTTCTCTTAAAACAAATACAAGTTGTTTTATGTGTATGAGGATTTAAGGGTTAACTGGACGAAATTTAGTTTGTCCTTAACTTTTTTTTTCCCTGCTATAGTTGGAAGTGAATGTAAGTGAATATAAATGAATTATCCAAGCCCTTCGGTACTTAATTTCTTCCCTCTGTAAAACTGAAGTATTATTATGTCCAACTTACAGGACATTGTCAATGAGCAGTTGGCAGCATTCTGATATCTGACCACTGGATTTCTTGAGAAGTTCTGCATATGAGCTCTTGGCATATAAATATACAGAGTGATTTCTTAAATTATATCTGTAAAATAGATTTCCTATATGTCTTTTCCTCAAAGTTATAGAAATTCCCAAGAAAGAGTTGGTAGAATTCCTTCTGATCTGTTCTTTGAAAAAGATTCTACTTAAATAAATGTTGGAGTGGTCATTCTCAAATACATTTTTAAAGTCAATATTTATAAATTGTTGTGATTTTCTGTCTAGAAAATACTCAAGATGGTTTATTTTGTAAGCTCAATTCCTTACAGAATACAGAGAAGCTGACATTGGTTAGTATTCATGTGAATAATTCGATTATACTGATAATGTACTCTATTGGGAATCAAAAGAAAGAAACTTAAAACGACAACTTCTGAAAGTGGATGCATTGTTTTTCACTTTTTCAGACAAAAAAAAATGTCCACCAGTTATTGTAAAGTTTCTGGTCACTACTTCTTTTTCCTATCTTTCAGTGATAAACTTTGCATCACTGTGTCTTTCAGGAGTGATGGATGCTAAAACAGAATAAGAAACTCTTTGTTTCAAAAGTCTCTTATTTTTGGAAGCCCTAATTGTGGAGTTGGCCTGGGGTATTAGCTGTCAATAGGCAGATACAATGACAGCTCGATACATGGGACACTATTGTTATCAAATATTTTGCTTTGTTTCCCCTTATAATGTGAATTCTGCTCTCATATGATAACCCTCACCCCTCCCCTTCTTTTAAAGTAGCAGAAGCCAGATTGTTTTCCCATTTTTTCTTTGCAATGGCACTCAGCTGTTTGTTGTTAGCTTGCTGGATTCTGGTTCTGTCAGCTGTGGCACATGGAAAGACAGCAGGGCCACTTTTCTAAAGGATGTGGGGATGTGCCTACAATGGCTACATTTCCCTTCTTTCCAAGAAGGAGATAAGCTAGAGCAACAGTGTGACATTTTAAAGAAATAGGAGGTGGAAGGGACCAAACTACTGCCAGCTGGAGGAGAAAATGAGCAAATAATTATAACCTAAATGATGCAACAGGGAAGCAGTAACTGGATAAGCCAAAGAAAGTAAGATGTTCATACCGATAGCGGATAGAGAGGGCCAAGAGAAGAGAAACTAAAAAAGCAGTTTAGTGAGGAAAATATGGTGTTAAGGCTTTTCAAATGACACAATTTCTCACAGCTTTAATTATGGGGAGAAAAACCATGTTAGCAGGAAATGGGCTTTCGCTATATGATACTTGTTCGGCACCTACTAGTGAAAGGGTGCCAAATTAATTATGACAGGCGCGTTGCACAGGTTGTTAGGCATTAAAGCCCTTTACAGGTGGCCTGGATGAATCCACATTTTGTTTGGCTTGCCAAACTACTTCTGCTGTAACAGGTGCTTCAGGAGCTCCCAGCCTGGGGACAGATCAGAGTCTGATGTGGGCAAACCCATGACGACTGAGCCTGCACCATAGTAATTACAAGAATCCCATCTCCCCTGGTCCCTTCCCTGGCAGGGTACAGGGCCCTGGTGCAGCCGTCAGCTCTGTTTATTTACTGCTGTAATCATTGCTGGAGTCCCTCCCGGCCTCGGGCCTGGCACAAGGCCCTGCAATGCCAGCTGCTTTCTCTCTCGTTCCTTTCATTGTTGCTACTGCCACCACTGCCACCGTCTCTCCTGCCTCTTGGCCATGTTATTAATAAGGGTTGGAGGAAGACTAGAAATATGGGTAGGTTTGGGGTTGAACCTATGCCACTCTGCCTACTTCTGGGTCTGGCGGCCTCTAGTTTCACCTGAAGCAAGTGCTGGGCAATAGAACTCTGAGATGGGTGCGTACCTCTTATAGCAGCTCAAGTCGGGTGCTGCTTCTCAGGGGGCCGTGTACCTCTCGCTGCTTCCTGATGATGGTTCTGATGAACAAGAGGCTCCACCTCTTCCTTAGGAGCAATAGCGTCACCATCTTTCTCTGCTGGGACCAGGGCGGGAAGGACCCGTGGAATATAATGACAATGAAACTAGCAATGACATGAGCCACCACTCCTGTGCCAGGCATTGTGCCCAGAACTCTGTGAGCTTGTTTAATCCTCACAATGATTTGCAGGCGTGTGGAACATATTTTTGGAATCATTTGGCCTTCTTATTTAGTCCTGGCTCTGCCACTTACCAGCGATATGACCTAAAGCAAATTCCTTTAAATTCTTTAGGTCTGACTAAAGAAGCTAGTGATGGTACCTGTTTTATCTAAATCTTAAGGAGCCCACTGAAGAATCCCAAAGTGAGTTTGGGAGACTGAGTGAGTGGTGAAGGCTCTTCTACTTTCTGTGTGTTTCTTTCTTTCGTATCTTCAGTTCTACATGATCTTACTACCCTTTTGGACTTAGACCTTTCCTGTACCTCTTCCTTCATTGCAGCTTTAAGTCTCTTTAACACTCTGCCATCTGGCTCTATTACTCCGAGTCTCCTCTGTTGATTGATAAATTGATTTACCAGACTTGGGAGTAGGCCCAGGGAGATATAATATGAACAGTAACTGCTATTTATCAACCCCCGAGTCTGCCTGGCACACAGTGCTGTGTGCATTCAAAACTTAATTGTCCCAATGACATTGTGAGGTTGGAACTGTTGCTTTCCTTGTTTTATAGAGGAGGAGAATGAGTATTGGAGAGGTTATTCAACTTGCCACGGGTCACTCAGCTAGCAAGTGGAGCTGTCAAGATTCGCCTTCAGGTTGGGTGTGGTCTGGCTATTGAGACCCTCCCAAAGTAATGGAGGAGACCCCTGCACAAGTGAATAAATTCAATATTATAACAGAAGCTTGTATGAAGTGCTAGGGACCCTTTTTGCAAGGGTCAGACAAAGAAGGCTTCATTGAGGACATGCCCCCAATTTATTTGTGTCCACTTGGAAAAAAGCCCTCATTTTGTGTTTCACATTCTACATAAACCAGTTGGGTGATCTTGGACACATTACTCCACACTATGCAGGCCTCATTTTTCTCATTTGAAAGTGAGAGGAAGACTGAGAGTGGCCTCTAAAACATTCCTCTAACTTAGAAGCTCTCTTCTATTAGAATCCTGCCTGCTTGTAACTGGACCCTTCAATCACTCACCCCCACTTGCCCAGACTTTCTGATACCTGTGGTAGCACTGCTGGCTGTTTATCACTGGCCCCTGGCAAGGAAGTGGACTCTCCCGGTCCCAGCCCTTGCCCTAATCATGGCCCAACCTGTTGCAGCCTTGATGATGACAGGAAGCAATTCTTGTCACTCTTGGATGCCTCTCTGCTCTTCTCACCCAAACCATGACTGCAGCCAGGGAAAATGTCACATTTGCACTTCAGAGGAAGACAAGCATCACTCAGGCCTTTTATGTGTTAGATTCTAGAAGCAGCCTGGTGGATTGCCTGCTGTGGGATACACTGCCGGCTGAGAGCCGCACAATATGTAATCAAGAGGGCAGCCTCTGGAGTCAGGCGATGGAGTTGCAATGTTGGCTCCTTCAGCGCCTCACTATGTTTCTTAACATCTCTGAAGTTTAGTTTGCTTCTCTGCAAAATGATAATAATAGCACCTACTCCATGGGCTTGTTGTGAAGGTCTAATGGATGAATGTATATGAAGTGCTTAGATCATTCTCAAGTAGTGTTCATTATGGTAACAGCCTACCCAGCAAACATTTGCTCATCCTTCTTGTGTATCAGAAATGCCCAATTCCAAGACAGAGACTGAGAATGATAGTTTCAGTTTCCCAGCCCTCTTGGAGCTCAGGATGGCTATGGAATCCGGTTCTGACCAATAAAACATAACGGGAAGTTTGCTGAGGGGTATCTGAGAAACATTTTCTTTTCTTACAAAAGGAAAGATAAGAGGTAAACTCTCTTCCTCCTTACTTCTTCCTTCCTTGGTTAGGCACATTGTC